TCATAGGCATCAGGCCTCCTGGTCTCTGACCCCCCCCCCCAGCTCCCCTTATTGCCTGCCCTCTGCTGCTGCTAGCTGACAATCAGCTGATTGTCAAGCACCTTGCCAGCGCAGGTGGAGCCCAGGATTATGATTTTAGGCTCTCTCTGCACTGGCAAGTATGGCGTGATTTGGATCTCAATCACAATCCCCAAAATTCTGCCTTTTGCCAAGCATCTGTGGCACATTAAGGAGATGTGATTGTTGGAACAGTTCTAGCTGTTCTGTTTTGGAAACTGAAATTTCAGTGGATCGTCTGAAGACCAGAAGCACACTGCTAGCGGCAAGACTGCCCTCAGAAAGATTAAGCTTGCTTAGTAGAACATCAAAACCATTAAAATAAAGAGACTACCTTAGAGTGAAGAATGATGGGCAATTAAGTCAACTGATTCCCTCAGCTGCCAGAATATTAATGCAATGGCTAATACACTGTGGAGCAAGAATCAAAGCACAGTAATTTATTCTGGGCAAAAAAAAATCAGTTTCCCCACTTAATACATGTACTTGAATTCTGTGGGGTTGATTTCCAGAGGAAAGGTGTATGTTGTATGTGAGAAAATATGTTATCTTAAATTTCCCTCAAGATTTCATAAAAACTCTCCCTTATTTCTAGAACTAGTGTTGATCTAATGTTTTAGTACTACAGGACCCTAATTTTATAGTATGCTAATGCATTTTTGTATACTATATGCAAAGGAAGTATGAAACCAGTAGAAAGGGGTTACTCTGTATATATAAACAATCATGCCATATTTGCAAGTCACAGTGCTTATTTTCATGTTATCTTTAATGTTGGATTAGTATTATTACACCTCAAATTTAAAAAAACCCACGAAAAAATCCCAATTAAAATTTTGCTATATTCTATGCCTAAAAAGATAAAATATTGTAATTTGTGAGTATTCTATAAATTGTTCCAGCAAGAGTTAGTTACTAAACAAACTAACTTGCTTTGTGCATTCTTGCAAGTGCTAATATTTTCATAACCATCTGGTATAATGCATGGCCTCACTTTGCCCCACAGCAAGGAGGGAAAGTTTACATTAGAGACTACAACTAAGAATACCAAAGAATAAGGTAGAAAATATAAATTTGCCCTCTTTTGTCATGGTATGGTTGGTCATTAATCACAAAAGAAATGAGAAGTGGCTGATAATCATAGCCTCCAGTCATTTTAAGAACTAAACTAACCCATGAACTAAAATTAGCCTTATGATTTCATATGGTACAAAAAAGTAACTGAATGAATATTGCAAATATTTACAGTGAATGTTCCCTCAAATTTAAGAGTCTGCTTTAGCCTCTCAGACCCTTTCTGTGAACTTTCAGGTAATCAAACTTTACCTGTACAAATGTGATTACATTAATTATCATTATACCACACATTCTACTGTTTAAATTTAATATTTAAAGGTACAACATCAGAAATTACCCCAGTTTCAACTAATTAAAAGTTGCATTTAGTATAGTATTAATTTTCTGGCTCTTGCAGACTTCTATACAAAGATGAGATTAATATAGCATACTGTAAAAGGATACGTATTTTAAAAAAAACCTTGTGCTCAAATATGCACCATGAAAACACTGATCCTTTCAGTTATATGCAGCAGCATCACACCAAATTTGTAGAAGAGTAAAGTGAAGTAGATAGAAACAATAGCTTTGTCCAACAAACGCAAGCCAGATGTTCAAGGACTAAAAAAATTTGCTTTAGAATTTGGCTTTAGAAACTATCAAAATTATTTCTTTATATATAATACATTTCTATAGGTAATTATTGGCCTAATTTAGATGGAACTGCCTGTTCTTTTTTAAGTAGAGTCCCAGTGAGAAAATGAAAGCTTATTTAATATTTATACACTCCCGTGAAAATTAAGTAATTTTTGCCTATGATGTCATATACCCCATAATATTTAGCCCCGTTTTGTTTTTTTTTGCACCAAAGGTCTGATAAGAAACCAGATATAAAGAACCTTCGCTATTGTCTCAACACAGTTCTATAGCTCAAGGCATCAAAACATTAAACAACAAGGTACTGAAGCCATTATCTTCTAATATTTAGTATAAACAAAATATTCCAGCCAGAGGCTATTTAAAGCATCTTTTCCTGGAGGAGCAATTAAACTAGCTGATAATTTTTCCAAATTTCTATACTAATATTCCACAAAATGGCCATGAGAACCAAAAGCACAAACTTTGTATCTTAAAGCCTCCTGAAGTTTTAAGTTTGTCTAATTTGTAAATAATTTCTCTGTAACATGTTCTAAAAAACAGCAATAATTTATAACCAACTTTTCTCCAAGACTATTTATTGGACTACATTGTTTTATTCTTGTGAGCAAACATGCTATTTTAACATTCATATATGCCCTCAAAGTTCACCAACATAACAATGACCCTACGACTTCTGCCAACGTCACTGTTAGACAGTGTGGACAGGATATTCTGAATAGTCATTCGAGCGAATACAATATTTCTGACCCAAAGCCCTATTTTAGCCCTGTTGAACAATGCAGTAGCAGAAATACAGAATTTGTGGCAGAGTGCTCACACTTCAATATAAAGCTTATACATTTACAACTATAAACATAATGGAACAATTTTCTAAAAATAGTAAATTTTAAATTACTACTTTGTCCAAACCATGCAAATATACATACCACTATTTGACATTTGAAAAAGATTGTTCTTCTCAAATTTCTTGAAAACACTTCCTTTTA